GTGGCTTAAATGGCAGAGAGGTGACCTCGCTCCCACCCGCTGCACACTGCTGAGTTCCAGGTTGCATTTCCAGAGTGTTGTTCACATTTATTATTTATTAAATTTGTATACTGCTCTTCATCAGAAGATGGCAAGGCGGTTCACAACATAAAAGTACAAAATGAAAACACCAAACAAAGTAACCCTCCTCCCACAAGAACATTTAGAAGGTCGTAAAATGTTTAACCAGCCCAAGGCCTGGTAATAGAGAAACATTGTTGCCTGACGGCTAAAATATGTAGTGAAGGAGCCAAGCGAGCCTCCCTGGGCAGAACATTCCACAAACAGGGAGCCACCACAGAAAAGGCCTTTTCTCGTGTTGTCACCTTCTGGATCTTTCGTGGATAGGGCACATGAAGAAGGGCCTCAGATGATGAGCACAGGTTGGTTCCTATGGCGGGAGGCGGTCCTTGAGGTACTGCGGTCCTGAGCTATTTAAGGCTTTATAATTCAAAACCAGCGCTTTGAGTTGTGCCCAGAAACTAATTGGCAGCCAGTGCAGTCGGGCCAGGGTTGGCATTATATGCTCACACCTTCTTGGCCCTGGCGAGCAAGCTAGCACCAGCTGAAGTTTCTGAGCAGTCTTCAGAGGCAGCCCCACATATAACACATTGCAGTAATCTAACCTTGAGGTTACCAGCACATAGGCAACAGAAGTTTGGCTGCCCCTGTCCAGACAGGGGCACAGCTGGGCCACCAGCCGAAGCTGACGGAAGGCACTCTGCGCCACTGAGGACATGCATGCGCGACAACTGTCTCAAATGTGCACACCATTCTTAAGTACGACGTGAATGCAGCTTAATTTTTCTAGACGGATTGAAGATGGTTGGAGAGAAGAAAAATGCACCCCATCACATTATTGGTCAAGGAACGAAAGGACCGATATGGATTGTGGCTCATGCTCTGTGAATGCGGTTTCAAAAACTAGCAATGGGAGCACATTTGGAGTAAGTGGAGATTTGACCATGCTCTAGCTGTTCCCCGTGTTTTGCTGGCCTTGCTTCCTTCCCTGACATACAGAAATTTGGAAGGTGACACATTCTGTTATCCTTGTGCCTGCAAATACATCACTTCTTCATGCCATGATAAAGGTGGAAGAGCAGGGCCAGGTAACAGAAGTAGTGGCAACTCTGCAGACTGATGTATGTGAAGCAATTTGGATGACCTCTACTCTTCTGTTTTCTAGCTAGCTTGTTATATGTTTCAAGGCAGTTGCATCTTTTTCTTCTCTGTTCCCCACTTCCGCCAAGTAGAGACCTTGGACGCAGGTTGCCTTGAATGTTGCTTGACACAACCATTACTTAATTTGAGTTCAAGATTGCAGGATCATCTGCTGAGACACCTGCCCTCCAGCGTCAATTCATACCGGTAATAAACACCATTTCCTCTCCCCCCGGGTTATGTTTCCCCACACACTCCTTATCAGTCCAGTTTATTGGTCAACCAAATGGCAGGGTAGAAGGTTTTTGCATTTTATGGACGTACAAATTAGGGATTTGTACATCAGATATGGACAAATATTACCGGTAATTGCGTTTCAGCATAGGACTCCGTGTAAGACATGTATTGGTCTGTTAAACTAAGGCCAAGCGGGGCTTTGGATATAATTTGTCCATGCTTCTACTTGTCAGCCTGTTTGTACTAGATTTGTTTTATATATATTTGTAAAATGCACTTTGCCCCCAGGCAGACTGCAGGGCAGTTTCTTCCCAAATAAAATAGCAATAAAATCAATACAGAGTCAAACACAATCGTAGTGAAAACCAGAAGATTAAAACTCAAAAATTGAGAAACCCTGGAAGGACAAAAAATGTATTTACATGGTACCAAAATGATAGCAACACAGGTGCCAGGCAGGTGTCTCTGGTGAAGGAATTATGTTCCGTAAATGTGGGGCCACCACTGAGAAGATCCTCTCCTTAGGTTAAGCAGATAGTAATTAAGTTAGCAGTGGGATCAGGAGGAGACTCTAAGAAGCTGACCTCACAGCAGAAGACTGGTATGAAGGAATGAATTCTGCCACATGCCAAGATGCCATGTGATATGCTAACTCCATTGAACATTGAAAGCATGGTCTTCAAATTGAGGCACAAATACAAGATGGGTGACACCTGGCTTGAGAGCAGTACATGTGAAAAGGATCTAGGAGTCTTGGTTGACCACAAACTTGACATGAGCCAACAGTGTGACGCGGCAGCTAAAAAAGCCAATGCAATTCTGGGCTGCATCAATAGGAGTATAGCATCTAGATCAAGGGAAGTAATAGTGCCACTGTATTCTGCTCTGGTCAGACCTCACCTGGAGTACTGTGTCCAGTTCTGGGCACCACAGTTCAAGAAGGACACTGACAAACTGGAACGTGTCCAGAGGAGGGCAACCAAAATGGTCAAAGGCCTGGAAACGCTGCCTTATGAGGAACGGCTAAGGGAGCTGGGCATGTTTAGCCTGGAGAAGAGGAGGTTAAGGGGTGATATGATAGCCATGTTCAAATATAAAAAAGGATGTCACATAGAGGAGGGAGAAAGGTTGTTTTCTGCTGCTCCAGAGAAGCGGACACGGAGCAATGGATGCAAACTACAAGAAAGAAGATTCCACCTAAACATTAGGAAGAACTTCCTGACAGTAAGAGCTGTTCGACAGTGGAATTTGCTGCCAAGGAGTGTGGTGGAGTCTCCTTCTTTGGAGGTCTTTAAGCAGAGGCTTGACAACCATATGTCAGGAGTGCTCTGATGGTGTTTCCTGCTTGGCAGGGGGTTGGACTCGATGGCCCTTGTGGTCTATTCCAGCTCTATGATTCTATGAAATGCAGCTGTCTCCCATCTCTGCCAGCCCCCAACAGCCTAGTACAATTCTTGCTGTATTTTACAAAGTATTGTGCTTCTTGGAATGTGTAAACCCCTCTGAGATTTGATTTGGTCAATGCTGGGACTGAACTAAAACTAGTATTTCAGTAACTTTTGTTGGCTTGTTTGATCCTCATTCAAAAGCCTTCTAACCTATTGGATGGAGATCACTGCTTTCTGGCTGGTGGTCCTGTAAAAGGTTGAGGTGGTTCTAAATTGATTTTATTACACTGGTGTGAGTCAGTTCTAAGCATGTATAGCTGGTTTTATGGCTTATGTTGCACATACTATGTATTATTACATTATTATTATTATTAAAAAGTTTGTGTTCTATGATTGTACAGAAGTCACCTTTGGAGGGTAGTGACAGCTTATAAATCTATGTATTATCCACCCTATCCTGATGCACCAGAATTATATCCTTTTTGTCTCAGTTTGGACTTTCTGTCCATTAAAATTTCATTCACTTGGGAGCAAATCCAACTGAATTCAGTGGCAGTTCCTTCCGGGTAAGCATGCATGGGATCAGGTCTCCACTTTTGCTTTGCAGTTCTGGCAAGTCTCTAGAACTTCCTAGACGGAGCTCATTTGATACTCGCGGGCGAATTTGTGCTTCGGGAGAGAACCCTCCAGCCCACACTCGCTTGACAAAACTGCCTTGCTGCTCAATGTGCCAAAAGGCTACGCAAGCTTTGCTGGGATGTGCCATATGCTGATACGGGAGTCCGTGCGGTAGAGGGCGCACGTATAAACTTGTCTACCTTATCGAAGAAGAAACGAGGAGCGAACTTGCTCCTTTTTCCTCAATCTCCTCCAAAAGCCAGTTTTTCCTTTCTTTTTTTTTATCTCGCCGCTCCATGAAGAGGTTCGCTTGGGTTCGACAGATCTGACTCCCTTATTTTAACTGCAGTTGATTCGCTACTTGATCTTTCCAAAAGACCCCAGATTGGACAGCCCGATTGCGTTTTGGGGAGGAGGGAGAGAGAGGTCTCTTTAAACAAGCACCAGTGCTATTGAAATATTTGGTGGCAGGGAGTTTAAAGAGGCGGACAGGCGGGATTTACTAACCCCCTCCCCCGAAAGCGCTCCGGCAGCCCCAACTTGTGCATGCTTACTCAGAAGTAAACCCGCCGAACTCAGTGTGGGTCCGACTCCTAAATCGCTACCCTTAAAATTGCTACCTGGGCCTTCTGCTTAATCTGAGAGCAAACCACATTGGCCACCCAGCGCGATTTCAGCGGCAACCGCTCACCTCGCTGGGAGGAAGCAAGTCCCTCTGAGCACACGGGGGCTTACTCCCGAGTAGACCCGTTTAGCAGGCTTGCACTGTGGCTGTACGCAGGTAGCATCGGGCTGCCGGTGCTGACTTAACGGTTCCGTGCACGGTTTTGCTCTGCAGCAAGCGCCGCCGAAGGTTTGATGGCAGGCTTCGGCGCGGCCCTACGAGACACGACCTGCAAGGAAACGCGGGCCAGCAACTCATCCCCGGAGCGCCGCCGTCTCGCAGCAATTGTTTCCAGCTGCTACGCCCTTCTCCCTCCCCTTCCCCCCTCCTCTTGCTGACTCGGCTGGGATCTCCGCTGCCCCGAAGGCGAACCGGAGCGCGTCTTCCCCTCTTCCCGGGCACTCCCACCCTCAACAATCGCTAAACACGTTGGCGGTGCCCTAGGCAACCGGTTCTTGTCGCTGCCTGTACTGGGGCCGGGGTGGAGTTTTTTTGGGGAGGGGTGGATGTGGGTGCCGAATTCCCACAGACTTGGGTGGGTGTGCGTGCATGCGTGTCCCCCCTCCATCCACGCTTAGGGTCCTCCCTTTAAATCAGTGTCACTGATTGAAGGATTGCAGGAGGAGGAAGGGCAGGCCGTTTCCTCTTGCAGCCGGTGTGCACCCCTCGAGCAAATCTCCCCACGCACCCACCAAGCCAGCCAGCCACCGGGCACGCACCTTCCGAGAGGGGTGGGTTTAGAAGGGGGGGGGATGGGGGGTGGGAAGGAGGAAGAGAAGCTTCCACGGCCATTGGATCTACCGCAAAGCTGTATCCTCCGGCTCGAGGGGGGTTATGAATGGGTGCAGCGGAAGCACCTCCCCCTCCGGACGTGACGCCCAGCCAATCGGCGAGCGGGCTGCGTGGATGGATGAGGTCAGCGCCGTGGTGTCGGGGAATGGAATGTTGCAAGTGTAACATTCAGAACCGGGTAACGTTCGACGGTCGGAACTCCGCGGTCGGCAACGTTCGGAGAGGCGGGGGAGGCGGCGGTCAGCCTCCCTCCCTCCCAGCCAGCCAGCCCCTTTCCCTCCCGGAGGGGGGGGCGCGCGCTCCTGTGCCATCGCTGCTCGCTGAAATGAATGGTTGAGAGGGGCGGGGGCTAGGAGGAGGAGGAGGCGGCCGCGAAGGCAAAGGAAGGAGGAGGAGAAGGAGAAGAAGAAGAAGAAACATCAGCAGCAGCAGAAGAGGCGGCGGCGGCGGGTCTTTTCTCTGGTTGGGGGAGATCGCAGAGCAGCCTGGAAGAGAGACTTCCCTCTCCTCCCTTCTCCTCCTCCCCGCGGAGCCGCTGCAAGGAAAGAAAGCGAGAGAAATGCAGGGATTCGTCAGGTTACGGCGCTCGGGCTGGAAGATGTGAGCCTCGGATGGTGCTACGCCGCGAACCGGAGCCGGCTGCTTGCACAGGCTGCTGGTGATATATACCGACTTGCTCGGAGAAAGCCGGGCGGCTCGGGGTGTGTTTGTGTGTGTCCGTCCGTCCGTCTGTCTCTCACCTCTCTCTCTCTCTCTCCTCCACCCCCCTCCCCCAGCGCCCCCCTTCCTATTTTGTGTGTTAGGAAAAGACATCCGAGGAATGTTGTGTGTGAGTTGAAGTTGCTGCTTGCGGCTCTTGCACCTTGATCATCTGCAAGCACCGGCTCCCTATGTGTGTGTGAGAAGAGAGGAAGAGAGAGCGAGAGGGCGGGACAGATTTCTCAATCTTGTAACAGCCGATTTGAGGGCGAAAAGGGGGACCTGGGCTGGGTGGTTTCATTTTCCCGGAGCGGGTGCCTTCTTCTCCCTCTCTCCTCCTTGCAAGAGAATTCCTAGCCCCACGCTCCCTCCTTTCCTCCCCTCCAAAGCCGGGCTGGGCGTGATTATTCTCTGCCTGCCCCTGCTTCTCTTAGTCCCTCTCTCCTTCTCCTTCTTCTCCTCTCTGTCTTCCCCCTTCTCTCTCCCTTTCCCTTCTCTCTCGCTCTCCCTTCCCCCCTCCCTCCCCAATCTCTATTGTGCGAGCCAAAGATGAAAGACCGGAGGGGAGAAAGTTAAAGAAATCGCCCACATGCGCTGCATCAGTCCGAGGCTTTGGGAAAGGAATAAAGAGGAGGTGGGAGAAGAGAGTTTAAAGTCTTTGCAGGCGGGAAGATGGCGGACTCAAGCTGAAAGTGTCGACTGGCAAACTTGGGCGATCTTTGTGTTTATTTACAATCCTCTCGACCCAGATAGGACACATGCAGGCCAAAAAACGCTACTTCATCCTGCTCTCAGCTGGCACTTTCGTCGTCCTGCTGTTCTACTTGGGAGGCTTGCAGTTCAGAGCATCCAGGAGCCAAAGCAGACGGGAGGCTCACAGTAGCAGGAATGGCTTGCAGCACAGCGGCGGCCCCGAGCACTACTGGCCCCGATTCCCGGACGCCCTGCGCCCCTTCGTCCCTTGGGAGCAGCTGGAGAACGAGGAGCACAACATGCACACTTCCCCGCGGCAGAAGCGCGACGCCAACGCCAGCGTCTACAAGGGCAAGAAGTGCCGCATGGAGTCCTGCTTCGACTTCGGCCTCTGCAAAAAGAACGGCTTCAAGGTGTACGTCTACCCTCAGCAGAAAGGGGAGAAGATCGCCGAGAGTTACCAAAACATCCTCGCCGCCATCGAAGGCTCCCGGTTTTATACTTCCGACCCCAGCCAAGCTTGCCTGTTCGTCCTCAGCCTGGATACCTTAGACAGGGACCAGCTGTCCCCCCAGTATGTGCACAACCTGCGGTCTAAGGTCCAGAACCTCCACTTGTGGAACAATGGTAGGAACCACTTAGTTTTTAATTTATATTCCGGCACGTGGCCCGACTACACTGAGGACCTGGGCTTCGACATTGGCCAGGCCATGCTAGCCAAAGCCAGCATCAGCACGGAAAACTTCCGCCCGAAGTTTGACGTCTCTATCCCGCTCTTTTCTAAGGATCACCCGAGGACAGGAGGGGAGAAGGGCTTCCTGAGGTTTAACACCATCCCTCCTCTCAGGAAGTACATGTTGGTGTTCAAGGGGAAAAGGTACCTGACTGGGATAGGGTCCGACACCAGGAATGCCTTATATCATGTCCATAATGGGGAGGATGTTGTCCTCTTGACCACCTGCAAGCACGGCAAAGACTGGCAGAAGCACAAGGACTCACGGTGCGATAGGGACAACGCGGAATATGAAAAGTAAGTGGCTGCTCTTGCTGTCTCGTTCCTTCTTTGCACGTTAAAAGGTGGCAGCTTAACGGCTCTCTGCAACCCCCTTTAAAGTCCCACCGTTCGGGCCTGCTTCTTCTACAGAATTCCCCCGAAAACTACAAGCAGGATAAATGGAAATCTTTCAAAGTGTGAAATAGGAGGTGTGGGCCTACCAGGTTTATTTGCCCCCCTTGAGTTGGGTGGAGGCATTTAAATGACTTGAGAATTGCACCCCCCAATTGGAAATCAGGATGAAAGCCTATGCATACTTGGGAGATTGCGATCCTGTGTGCGCTTTTAGCCCCACTAAAAAACGTTGATTTTATTGCAGAGTAAGCATGCATAAGATTGCATCATCGTACATATTGCTGAATTCTCCGGGGTTTGCTTCTGAATGTACAAGAAGTGTTCAAGGGGCATCTTCCTGATTTCTTTGGGGCTTCCTCCTGAGGTAAAAGTGTGCCAGGTCACAGCTTCATCTTGTAAGCTTCCTTGGTTCAGCTGCAGCTGAAGGTGGAGTGACCTGTGGTGTCCTAGTCAGCTGCGACCCATCCTGGGTAGAAATTGAACAAAGTTCATTGTAGCTTAGCTCCCTTATAGTTCTGCTTGCACAAAAGGCTTCTTTCTGCGTGGTGTCGATTTTCTTTTTAACCTTGATGGATAATGCCTAGAACAAAGTTCAGAGAAATCTGATGACTTGCTAAAACGCGTGGGTGTGAACATTTATTTAGATGGCCATGAGTTTGTGAACATTTATTTAGATGGCCATGAGCAGCTGCAGAACTGATTCGGTTAATTTATGTGCTGGATGGATGCTCAGCCTTCACCTTTATTTTTCTTGCACAAAACAGCTGTGAAACCAGGGAACGTTGAGGTGTGTCCAGCTCCAAAACCTTTTGCATATTTCCATGTTGACAGCTGTTTCCAGCGGTGTAAATGTTTCCTGTGGTTTGTTTCCTGTGGTTTTTCTGTTCCATGTCTTTCCCCCCTCCTACTTTTGATACGTTTAACTCCATGGGATGAATACCAATCTAGATAAGAAATACAAATTGCGGAGTAATATGGGTGGTACCTTCTGTTGGTTCCTCAAGTAGTAGAGTAGATTTACAAGCTTTTGAGTTGTACAGAACCCTTTCTCCAGACCTAAAGAGAGGCTCATTGCAGTTCATACACTTACCCAGGTGCATCAATAATAGCAGGTGTAAACTGGGCTACTTCTGCATCCAGGCTCCTATTCCTAGTGTCTCTCTTCTCCAGTATAACTTGCAAGTTGTGAATGTAACTTTTTGCATGTAGATGCTGTTGAGACAACAGCTTTGCAGAAATGGCCACTGTAGGGTTGTAGTGATAATGAGCCTGTTCGAAACTCATTAGTTAACTTTAAATGCTGACCACGTTTGTGCTTGCAGTGCTGAGATCCCTAAGTAAAAGCAGCTTGATTTCCATGTGAGAAACAAATGTGGAGGCTTACTCCTTTTATTTAGATGTTGGTCCAAACACAGGCTGTGTCAGGGATGGTTAGGGAGACTGGTAAAATCAGTGATACAAGTTGGAAGACTGCAACCATTGTCAATTTGTAAGTCATAAATGGAAAAGTTTGAAAGCTTGATTAGGACTAGAAGAATGAACATTACTGGCTCATGCAAGAGCAGCCAAATAAGGAACATCTGTACTGGCAGTGCACCTGATTCCTCCGCGAGGGCCAGTTCTGTTGGCTGTGTGCATAATGTGCATTTAGAGGTCATGGGAATATCATCCTGGTGATGCCCGCATATTTGCAAACCTTTGCAGCTCGCGCATAACTCAAGAGCTTCTTCCTTGCATATTTGGGTGAGTGTGCAGGCACAATTAAATGGGTCTCTTGAAGGAGGTGAGCGATTGAGAGAATGAGGTTTAAATGCCTGTAGGCTTTCAGGAATTTCTTGGTTTGGAATATGATCTACCACTCTGATGTTGCCGTTTGAGCTTAGTCTAACGCTTCCATTCCTTTAAGTCTACCAGTTTGGGTATGTTGCTAAGCTCCCCTTGGTTCATTTAGGTTTAAAAGCACACTCTGCTTAAAAGGGTTGGCTCTTGGAGGTCTTAGTCCCAGCAACCGGGAATGTCAGTACAGGACTTTGTGCTGTCATTTCCCCCTGGGAGAAGATGTTAGGGTTCCACTTCCTCGTTTTAGGCACCCAAAAATGCCTAGCTTTGTCTGAGGTAGAGCAGGGTCCTCTGTGGGGTTTTTTAAAGGCAGCCTAGGGATGTTGACTCGCGGTATTCTAGAAAAGGTGGCTGTGATTACTTTTGCAAAATGCCATAAATAACGTTTACTTTGGAAAGGCGGCACCTGTGTGAGCATCTGTTGGCACCCCTAGAAATCACTCCAAGGCACAGATTCAGTGTGGATTTATAGAATTTTGCCATTACTGTGCAGAACCCTATCTCTTCCCTGTCTCTTGCTCCCCCCCCCCCACACACACACTATTCAAGTCCCGTCCATGCTTGGCTCTGCACATATAGTTTATGAAATCTGACAAGGCCACATCCTGGGGGAAGCATAACTTTCAGAATCCTGGCGGTATCTCTTTATAAGCACATTATCTCTATTCTCATACATGTGATAGTTGTAGGAGATTGTCCTCTGTTAACTCTCTTTACCTTGAGGGGGAGAAAGAGGCGGCTTGCTTCCGAGAGAGAATGTGACAGTTCCAAAGAGCATCCCGAAACTGCTTTAAAAAATCCTAGCCTTGCCTTCGATTTCGGCTGGAGAATAGGAGCCTCTGACCCTACAGATGTTCTTGGACCACAAGTCCCAAGGCCATTGGCCATGTCGCCTGGGGGTGTTAGGATTCGGAGTCCAGAAACATCTGTCCTCCTATTATCCCTTGATCTAAATGTTGAGAGCTTTTTGGAAAGAACACATAAATTCCTGGTGCATTAGCCTCTTCATGGCTGGTTTCTTAGGGCTTGCAAACAGCTGCGTGGAACCTCTGTGGGCAGAGGCAATGTATACCAGGGGCCAGAGATCGTAGAATTGCGGAGCTGGGATTTTTGAGGGTCATCGCTGCTATGCAGGAATATTTTGCCCAATGTGGGGCTCAAACCCAGAGCCCTGAGATTAAGAGTCTTCTGCTCTATCAACTGAGCTATTCAGCAGGAGAGCCATTAAAGGTAAAGGTACCCCTGCCCGTACGGGCCAGTCTTGATAGACTCTAGGGTTGTGCGTTCATCTCACTCTATAGGCCGGGAGCCAGCGCTGTCCGCAGACACTTCCGGGTCACGTGGCCAGCGTGACAAGCTGCATCTGGCGAGCCAGTGCAGCACACGGAACGCCGTTTACCTTCCCGCTAGTAAGCGGTCCCTATTTATCTACTTGCACCCGGGGGTGCTTTCGAACTGCTAGGTTGGCAGGCGCTGGGACCGAGCGACGGGAGCGCACCCCGCCGCGGGGATTCGAACCGCCGACCTTTCGATCGGCAAGTGCTAGGCGCTGAGGCTTTAACCCACAGAGCCATTACATCTGCCCTAAGATTCCACACAAATCTTGCTGTTGTGAGTGGAGTGCTCAATGATTTGGGCATCCAGTCCAGCAATTCATAGTTCCTTTTGGCTGGTGCTCTATAAGTTGAAGATGCACCGTTCTCAAACTGAGGAATGGGCTACCTTGCCGTGAGGCCACGGTTCCTGTGTCTCCTAGTTTCACCTCGTGTTTGATATTGAATTTGCAGAGGAATTTACCTTTCCTCGTTTTCTGTGATGGACAGGACTGCAGGTACTCTGCAGGTGACCTGTTGGCCTGGCAATATTGATCCTTGCAAGGCAGACACTGAGTGGCTGAACAAGGGAAAGCAAGTGTAAACTTCCCAATTAGATTCACTTCTCCTTTTCCCTTCTTAAAAAAGGGCTATTGTGTTGTGTTAGCAGAGTGAGATTGCAATCCTGGGCATGTCTACTCTGACGCAAGCCCCGTTGGATTAAATGTTTCTTAACTCTCAGGTAAGATTGTGGCTTCAATGCACAATCCTCTGCACCTGGTTTACTCAGAAGGAAATCCCCATTACATTCCATAGGTCTTCTTTCCAGGTAAATGGGCGTAGGCTTGTACCCTAAGTCTGCAATCTTGATTGTGTCTCCTTGGGGTTAAACCCCACTGAAATTGGACTCTGTGTGGGTAATTATTTTTTGTTTGTTTTTAATACACCTGGAAAGGACCAGGCTGTAAATTATAATCATTTGCAAAATCTGTTTGACTAGCAAATTGGAGGAAAAACCTAAGTGTAAAAGTTGATGGCCGTTAAATTCTGCCCAGAGAACTGTCCAGCACCCCTCTTCCGCCACCCCCAAATCTGTCCTAATAAGTCCCCAACATTTTTGCAATATGCTTAGTGAGTGTTTGACATGTTTTGGCTCAGTCTTCCCAAGTTCTATTAAGAAATCCATCTGCAGCACTGAACTAATTAATTTTCATCAAAGTTATGCATCTCAGCAGATAAAGCTGATGCCGACTAAAATGAATTGCATTATCTTGATTAGAATACTCGCAAACGGGATTTAAGGAGCGACTTGCACTCTCTGTGCGTATGTATCTAATATACATTATGTTAATACATATGCCTCTGTATCGCTTCTTTAGGTTTGTTTTTAGTGCCATTAATTCTGAATCATATAAATGCTTGGGTAGTGTGCTTTGTAATATGGGCCTAGGTGTTGCGTCTTGCTTTTTTGTTTTTTTTTAGGCTGAAGAGAAGCAAATGGTCTGCTGCTTTTTGAACGGGGAGGGGAAGGAATTGGGTCTGGAAGATGCAGAGTCCTTGGCACATGTCCGCTGAGCCCAATTTCCTTTGTCAATGGACCATGAAGTTGCAAGGTGGACTGTCCACTCTGTTTAAAAGAGGAAGAGTGTGTATTACTCTGTATGTGTGCATATTAGTGGTGCATGTCTTCTTTGCCCTGTACACTAGGCGTTTCACGATTGTGTGAACACACAACTTCTCGTGGCACCT